ATATGCTGGGTCAGTCTTTGGAGGCTCACAAATCATACTTGTGATGACCTAACTTCCCATGTCCTTTGATGAACAAAGACACCTCTTGGGACCATTGGAGGAAGTTACTGTCATTCAACTTATGAGTTGTGATCAAGAAACTCATGCTGACTTCCGGTCCTCCAATCTGCAGGGGAGCGAAGGTTGGAGTCAATCCTCCGGTGAAGTCACTCATTGAAAGAATCAACAATAATTTCGACTGAGTAAAAGTATATGTTGTGGTTTTGAGCCATCGATGAATTTTGGTAGAATCACGACAAACACAATAACTGCAGGACTTGCAGGTAGCAAGACAACTACAACAATATTTTTTTTGTAGAACGAAAATACTGGTTGAAACAGGAGGAATCTGGGGGGAACCTGCAAGAAGAGCAACGACAGAAGTCCTCTGGCGGATGGGAATCTGTAGGAAGGTTCGTTGCAGTTCACTGCTGTTGCGGTGAATATGGGCAATCTTGCAGATAGGAACAGGAGGAATCCTTTGTAATTCCTGTAGTTCACTGGAATCTGTTGTTTGTTGGACTTGGCAGGAAAGGCCGCCGGCTAGGAGAAGGAGGTGGAGGCAGTGACTGTTGGAACTGGCAGAGAAGGCCGGGGGTTGCTGGGTCTAGGTTTAGACTCTGATACCATATTGAGACTTGAAATATACCAACATAATATTGGCAGAGAAGGCCGGGGGTTGCTGGGTCTAGGTTTGGACTCTGATACCATATTGAGATTTGAAATATACCAACATAATGTTATTGATAGGAGGGGTATTTAAACCCAATTACAATAAGTATAATAATGAAAAGAAATAAAAACAAAGTATAACCACTGAGAAAGAAAATAAAACAAAATAAAACAAAATAGGATATGCATAATCAGGGAATAATAGTAAATAATTAGTAATAATGACTAGGGATGACCGTATAATCTAATAATTATCTTTTTGAAACTTAATGGGATTGCTTGTTTTGAGGTAAGTGGTTGGAAGTAAGTTCAAGCACTTGTTTGGTAGAGGCAAGAGAGTGATCGAAAGTGGCTTTCTTGTAACTTCCATAAAGGTGATAGTAAATTTTTAAAGGTTTTGAACTCACCTTCAATTATACCTTTTTAAATTTAATAAAATGAATGACAAAATCAGTGAAATAATATTACTTTCACTTACAATACTAACAATGAAACTTTATTAAATTAATATGAAGGGTAGATATAATACTCACTTTAGTTTAAACAAACATATGTATTGAGTTTAAAAGAAGTGTTTGCTCAAATCAAATACAGATCCCCCCATTTCAACGAAAACCACCTATGAAACCTGCCTTTAATCTCTTTCTGATGCTTAATTCGAAACAACTTGGTCAGAAATGTTTTAGGATTGGGACCTTTAAAGTTTACATCCATGAACAATAAATGTTAGCTTATATTTGCATCTCATGCCAATCTATATTGTATGTTAACCTATTTAAGGTCATATGCTTGCAGGTATGGCTTTTAGCTTTGGTTTTATTACCAGCTAGGTCACATATTTACATGCGAATTGGACTAGTGATATATCTTTCATTTCTGTCAGTACTTGCTCTTCCAGCCCAAATTTGGATGGTAAGCATGGCGGTATTTACCCGATGACTTTTTTGTTAATTTATAAAAAAATTTCTATTCATCTTGTGCTTCGTTTGAACACACATATTGCAAATAAAAATCTTTTAAATTTATGATCATATACAAGTTCTTAGCGGATCTTAGAAAAGTTTTCTTTTGAACTTAATCCATATTTACGGATTCTTCTATATTGCATTATATCCATTAATTTTTTCGTTATGCAAGAGCAGGAGTAAGCTACATGGATGAATTAATTCTCTTAATTTTTCTTAAAAGTTGAAAATTTACTCCTCTCTACAGGACCAAATGGGAAGAGTGGCCTTTCTTTCTGGAGTCTTATTCGTCATGCTGGGATTTGGATCAGACAGTATACTTCCAACTGTCCAGTTGAGAACTCCTCCCCCCTCAATGATAGGGTTGCCTGATATTCCTAAATCCTTGGAAGGTTATTCATATCTTATCATGAAGTTAGGACCATTGCAACTAACAAGGAAAGGGTTATCAGTGGCAAGCACTTCTGCATGTTTAACATTTACTGTATGTTTTCCCATCTTATTAAGCCTGTATGTTTGCAATTCGAGTTATGGCCATCATTTCCCTTTTCCTCTGGCATTATTTGCTAAGATGTTTAGAATTAAATGCCTGTATTCCTTCTTTCTGATGGCCCCCAAAAAAATGGAAATGAGCTCAGAATATAGTATTTCATTTTTCGCAGTGAAGCAGCTCTTATAAACTTCACATATCTTCTACTATCCTTGCCACCTTGGTCATTAACCAAAAGCAAACTATTATTAAAGTACTGTGATATAAATCAGAGTTTCTCTTTCGTATTGTTGACCTTTCTTACTTACAATCTTGATTTTCCTGAAGAAAATATTAAGTTTATGTTTCTCACTCAGCTTCAGAACATTTTATATGTAGTGTAACGGCTGGCTATATTTTTTTGGTGGAAACCCAGGTGTTTTATCTGGTTATTCTGATCATTCTAGTTTTCTTTTATTTTTAAGCTTATATCTATATGTGCTAATTTATCGAGTTGTTGGTTTATCATAGTAAGTTTCCTATCAACATTTCTTCAAACCATCATTAGTTTTTAAATGCAATTTTTCTTTCCTTGTTTTGGTGAAGATTTTTCAAAGCGCTAGTCTCTGCTTGGCAACGACAACGCCTGAGCAGCTTGCATCAGCATTGTGGTGGTTCATGTATCCATTATCTTGTTTGGGTGTTTCAGTGGATGAAGTTATACTTACTTTGCTACTTTCATTGAGGTTTATCAATATAGTGTTTGATGAGGCAAGTTTTGAAGCCTTTTCCATGATAAGCTGATCTATCCCATTTATGATGGCTCCTTGGAACACTTCGTTTGGGGAGCCATTTTTTGGGACCATTTTATTGCTCCATCAATAAATTTAGGTTCTTCTAAACTTAGCACATTTTCTTCTACAACTCATTCAATCAATAATCTTTTCCAGGTACGGAACACTGCTCTTGGGATTGTTGCACGGAGAATATACTGGCAGAAGCTGACATTTTTGGAAACACTGGATGGTATTTTTTTTTTCTTTTGGCTTATGTAAGTTTGTAATCTATTTTAATGTCTTTTCCACCGGTTAGCAACTAATGTGATGTTAAAGATTTGAGTGACATACATGAAATTATGAATGTTTAGGGGTTAGATATGTTAAATACGTAAGAATTATATGGTATGTATGTAAGTGTCCCGTGTTTTTGGAGGATTAACATACATACCACCCAATTCCTAGAGGGGTTAGATATGTTAAATACGTAAGAATTATATGATATGTATGTAAGTGTCCCATGTTTTTGGAGGATTAACATACATACATACCACCCAATTCCTAGAAAAAATTACTTATCTATGTTGACTTCATTTTGAGGTCATTACTCTTTTTCTTAGGACCCTAGGATCTAGATCTAAGGATTCCTATCGACTATCTTAGAAAACTAGTATTGGAATTCATCCCCTTAGAAATTCCAGCCACTTCCTATTTCTCTTGTGATGTCTCATATTGATGATCTCAAAACCATCGTTGTATGGTCGAGTGGTAAAAGACTATCATGTGGAGACTCAGGGAAGTTCCCAATAGATTTCAAGCCCTAGGAAAACCTTTTTAGGACTTTATCA